TTACCCAGTCTCCCGTTCTATGGAAGGAAAGCCAAAGCACTCTAGCAGATAGAATGTTTAGCATATTCTGGCTCGTCCACTAAACTCCGTAGGATTGTTGTGGGGATAGGGGGCGACCCTATCTACGCCACCGTCAGCCCTTTAATGAAAGGATACTATCATGGTATCGACCCTATCCTTGTTGTCTCAAGTGCAACTTGTCTTTATGGTTTCTATTCCCCCCCCCCTCAGAGAAAGGAGACCAAAACAGACTTTTGGTTGCCTCAAGGGCTACAGAGATATGATCCACGAGGATCAGAACCAACGTCAGCAGATGGGTGGAGGAAAAAGATCTTGTTGCCTAGCTCTTCTGATTGTTGATTTGGTATTTGATTGTTCTCACAACTTATGCGGAGAAAGGAATGTCTGATAGGACCAGCAACAGATGAGAAGAGTAGGTGGGTGAGTGAGAGAAGTCCACCTGCCTCAAAGAATATCATCCAACACCGAAACAATGCCAGTCAAGTGGAGAATCATGACATCATGGGAGAACCCACAAAGATCTCTCAAGTTTCGCCCATCAGGTATTGATTTGTTTTTCGATCGGTATCATCCTGGGCCCAAGGAACATGTGGCTGGATAACAAAAGAGTCCCGATTTCAGAAGCCACAGTCTGGTCCTTGAGTCAGTTCTCCAAGTTCTCTTGGGGAGTCCAAGCCTGCCCCCAAAACTGAGTGACCCCCCAAATTATAAAGACTGTGGTGAAAGGCACCGGATCGTACAGCCATCGAAAGAAGACACATTGCAAGAGGTTGAAGGTCGATGAAGCAAAGCACAACGGGATGGTTTAAAGAGGTGCAGATCTGTCCTTGCAGAGGAGGGAGAGCTTGTACCTGAATAAAACCTGGCCTTAAAGGTGCCTCTGGACTGTTTTGGACCTGTTGGCTCTGCAACTTACCTGGCTGCTTCTTGCTCTGACTGAGGGGTGCTGGGAGCAGGGGGTGGGGCTTGTTGCATGTGCCCGCCCGCTGGACTCTTTACTGCCGGAGTTCCGCTCCTGTGCGCTCCTGCAGGAAATGACCCCTGCTAAAGAGGCACTTTGGGGCACTAGATATGAAACTGAGCTCTTCTGGACTATGATTTAGGGTGTCAAAAAGGATGTCAGGGATTTCTGCGATGCTACCTCATCTAGATCTCTAAGTAGAAGAGGTGAGCGGTACTGGTCTTCATCTACTATGAATCCTCCGGGGAATAGTTGGGTATGTAGTAAATACTGTGAGCATAATTCACGGCATCCAACATGGCCGTCGACACCATACAAGCACTAAGCCCCCCAACTTTCAAACAGCCAGGCTCGTGAGGAAGAAACCAAAGTGTTGGAATGAAGGATCCCATGACCCAGAAGAGCCTATTGGAGTGACAAATCCCAGAATCCAATGGAGTGGCCTTAACCCAGGTCTACTGGGATCATAGTCCTTGAGAATGGCACATTTCCTCTAGATGGCTTCAGCCCCTCTTGCGGTTAATCTCCAGCTGGAGGATGTTCAATCTCACGCAAATAGCACACTGTGTCCACCCCCCCCCTGAGTTAAACTGCACTTGAATACAATACAGAGAAGAGTTTCTCCCACCGCATCCTCGGTCGACAATTAAAACAGTTCTTTAGATCAGGAGTCCTGAACCTTTTTGAGCCTGGGTTCAACTTTGGGGTTTTTACATAATGTGTTGAGGGCGGCCACAAAATGGCTGCCATAAAAATGACAACATGGCTGCCACAGCTTACCTTCAGTCACACAACGACGAACCTTCTACTGCCATGGCAGCTGTTGCTAAGGCAACATTTCTGAAAATATGGACAGCCAGTGAAATCCCCAATGGCCGATCAGAAGCCTCACCGGGCAAAAGCCCCATCTGGCCCTGCCCACTTTTCAAAAACACTAGGCGGGGCCAGGAGAGGTGTCAGCGGGCACTGTGTTGTGGACCCCTGCTTTAGAGGATATGACGATAAAACCTGAGATGCGGCCAGCGGGGGCCCCCTCATGCCTCCAAGTCCCACTCCAAAATGCCTCAGCTTTGTGGAATGAGCAGGGCTTTTTCTGTAGAAAAAGCCCAGGAGGAACTCATTAGCATAACAGGCCACACCCAACAGCAGAAACTCATTAGCATATTAAGCAACACTCTGACATCACAGCTCATTAGAATATTAGGCCACACCCCCATGTTGCCACACTCACCTTTTGCTTCTTATTCTGTTTACTTTGTTTGTTGTCAAAACCCTGGGCCTTTTTTTGTAGCAGGAACTCCTTTGCATGTTAGGCCACACACCCCTAATGTAGCCAATCCTAATGAGTTTCTGCTGTTGGGTGTGGCCTATTATGCTAATGAGTTCCTCCTGCTGGGCGTGGCCAACTCAGGAGCCAGCCGGAACTCCATTCCTGTGCGTTCCTGCCCAAAAATAGCCCTGGGAATGAGGCAAAAAAACAACAACCCCTGGCTGGAGCCAGGGCCTGGCTAGGGGAGTCTCTGCTCCCACAGACTATCAATTCAGCCTGTTTGCAGTTCCACCTTTCTGGGGCAGAAGCAGGTGTGCAGGGAGAAAGCTGGCTCGAAGAGGATAACCTGTTTAGGACCAGGAGAATCCCTAATGTGCTGAGCCTATCGGTAGATCCATTCGTTGGAGGATCTGTCCTCTGAGTCAAATTCAGTTGGACGCCTCAAGCAACCTTTAAGAGACCGCCCCCCCCAAATCCACTGAGAATGTGTTCCGTGTAAGCAGCACTGAAAGCTAAGCTGATAGGAAGAGTGGGGCACCGGGGAGGGGGGAATGTCCTCCCAAGCAATGCCCCCTCTAAGCCGTGGAGTCTTGTGAGCAAAAATTCTACTCTGCGAGGTACCGGCATTGAAGTTGTGAGCGAGCGATTGGGCTGCTGCCTCAATTAGTTTGGTCTGCAGCCCTCCTTCCTGAGCTAAGGCAAAAATGTGTGAGCCGGAGGCTAAAGAACTGTGAGCTGGCTAACACTCACTCAGCTTAGGGGGAACACTGCCCCCCAAGGGGTTCGATCTGTTTTTAAACGAAAAGCCTCCAGGGGAGGCTGCCTCTCGGAGCCAAGAGAGAGCAAGAGGAGGCACTGCATCACCCCTTCCTCGATCATTCGTGCTCGTCCACTCAACACCGTCTCCCCCCAGGGTGTGTTTCTCCCTGCACGGAAACAGATCGACGGTGGGAATTTGGACAGAAAAAATGGAAGAGTAGTTCTCCTTCCCATGGCTCTTTCGGTCCCCGTAACAGCCTCCAAGGCGGCTTTTCAGTTTAAAAAGAAAAGAAACAAAGATCATTCACAAACCTCCTGTGTTAATGTTCAGTTCAGCCCTGAAACTAATGGGGATTGGTGCAAAACCGCATTGATGATCCAGTGCATCGTAGTTCCCATTCAGTTCCATAGGAGTCCTTTCTCCCCCCCCCCCAAACATATTTTAAGAAATCACTGGAACACAGCCTGTTGGAATAACAAGGTCTTCCAGTTTTGCTTCGAGAAGACCGGAATGTTCCTAACACCTGTCGGCCTTTTAGAATCATGTGCCATAAGCCATGCTCCCTCTAAGCTGCCGAGTCTTGTGAGCCAAAATTCTACTTGGTGAGCTACTGGCATTAAAGTCGTGAGCGATCTGGCTACTGGAGCCATCCTTCCTGAGCTAAGACAAAAATGAGTAAGCCGCAAGCTGAAAAACTGTGAGCTAGCTCACACTAACTCAGCTTAGAGGGAACACTGGCCGTAAGCTATGGCTAGATATACTTCACTTGTATTGGAACGGGGGATGCGGGAAACCCTCAAATGTGTGCGGGCTGAGTTTAGGCTCCAGATCCACTTCAGACGGGATCCAAGACTGCCCAATGTTCCGTGGGAACAGTATCTGAATATCTGCCCCCCATAACATACAGGAAGCCAGGGTCTAAGATCTCGGACTTCCCCTCATCTGGAGCCTAGAATATGTCTTTGGAAGATATATTCTAGGAAGACATATTCAAGAAGATGGGAAATGAATGCAGAGGAACCCTGGATAATTTCTGGAGCTGACTGGGATGGAGGGGGAACTCCGTCAGTTACTTCTTGCTCGCTTGGGCACTGTATATTCAAAAGTATAATAGAAAAAACTCCCGAACCAATTTACACCGATAGCTCAACACACCCAGCACCCCGCCTCTGTCAGGAACCAGATGTTTCAAATGTCGGGAGGAAGAGAAACAGAAATGATCAATGTGATAACTCCGAGTGCCGGAAATGGGGAGAGGGCGTCCCCTCTGCTAACTGCTCGCAGCAACGTATAGCTTGGGTCAGAATTTGGGGAACAAAATATCAAAAAGTCTCTTTTTCAAGACCCACCCACAGAAAAAAAACCCACCCTGCCCCACCCTTACACAATGCTCCCCTCACCCCACCCCGTAGGATACAACAGTATCTTCCAGTCTTTGCAGACGAAGTTGTCCGAGTGTCCGGAGAAGGTGGGGGCCTCCTTTTCGTAAACCCAGAGCAGAGATTCCTTCCAAGGCGTAGGCAAATAAACAACCTCTGCACTTATCTCAGCTGTCTGTTAAAAAGAAAATATAACCCGGTTTGAATAGACAGACCCATGGCAGATGTTATAGCGTGTGCGCAAAGGCGGGGCAGGGAGGAGAGAGCTGTGCATTCATTGAAACGCAACGGCGCAAGGAAGCTAAAAAACGAAAGCAAGCGGGCAGAGTCTTAGTGTCGATGGAAGGGGCTGGTCTGTGGAATGTGGGGGGTGAGTGGCGGGCAGAGGAGTGGCAGAGAATGGGGTGGAAGGGCGGGGCAGAGGCGGAGGGAAATGCTTGCAGCAGATAGAACTCGTAGTATAAATAAGAACCCATGTGTGTTGTTTGTCGGTTTCCAAAATCAGCCCCATCCTTTCCCCCGGGGTGGGGGAAAGTTTACAAAGTTGCACTTGTGTGTGTCCGAGTCTGTGCCAAGTGTGGGTGGCGGGGTGGGTGGAGGCGGTGGGCGTCATTCCATCACCTCCCCCAAGTGCCCCTCTTCGCAGTCCAGGCACCCGTTCAACTTGGCCCCGTTATCCGCCATCGTCTGCAGGTCGTATTCCTCGTCCAGAAAGTCCAGGGAATTGTTGCTGGGGAGGCCCCGGATGGTGAACTTGTGCGAGACTTTGGTCCAGTGCTCCCTGTTGCTGGCCACCCTCTCGTACAGCTCGGCCGACTTGGGGAAGAGGTCCTGGAGTAGCCTGGGAGGGAAGAGATTAGATGGAGGGAGTTCCAGAAGTTCCATGGGGGAAAGTCGCTCAGAGCTGGACAGGTGGGGTGCCAGACATGAACACGCACAAAGCTGATGGCCATTGGTCCATCAAATTCAGCATTGCCTACTCAGATTGGCAGCAGCTCTCCAGGTTCTCAGGCAGAGGTCTTTCCCATCACCTCCTGCCTGGTCCTATTAACTGGAGATGCCGGGGATTGTACCTGGGCCCTTCTGCATGCCAAGCAGAGGCTCTTCCACTGAGCCATGGCCCCTCTATACAGCTCACCAGGGTCTCAGGCGGAGGTCAATCCCATCACCTCCTGCCTGGTCCTTTTAACTGGATGTTGGGGATTGAACCCGGGACCTTTTGCATGCTGAGCAGAGGCTCTTCCACTGAGCCACGGCCCCTCTCCACAGCTCTCTCAGACAGGGGTCTTTCGCATCACCTACTGCCTGGTCCTTTTAACCGGAGATGACGGGGATTGAACCCGGGACCTTCTGCGTGCCAAGCAGAGGCTCTTACCACTGAGCCCCTGTTCACCCTCCCCACAGAGAGCCGCCTCCGGCAAATGACACAGCTCTTACTTGTAGATAGGCATGGCGATATGCTCCATGAAGCTGATCTGCAGCTCCGGGATGTAGGCCTTCTCCCGGTCCATCATCTCCATTGGCCGGTTGCCCATGGCTTTTTCCTGCAGGGATTGGAGCAATCGGGTCACCCTGGTCCACATCACGCAACTCCCCACCCACCTCCGTGTCTGCGCAGTAAGGGTACCACGTGCTCAGAAATCACACCCTACTCAATCCAGGGCCAAGCCAGGGACATATTCCTGGCAAACAATAGCATCACAAGGGAACACAAGAACCTTGTCCGGCAAATGACACAGCTCTTACTTGTAGATAGGCATGGCGATATGCTCCATGAAGCTGATCTGCAGCTCCGGGATGTAGGCCTTCTCCCGGTCCATCATCTCCATTGGCCGGTTGCCCATGGCTTTTTCCTGCAGGGATTGGAGCAATTGGGTCACCCCGGTCCACGTCACGCAGCTCCCCACCCACCTCCGTGTCTGCACAGTAAGGGTACCACGTGCCCAGAAATCACACCTTCCCCAATCCAGGGCCAAGCCAGGGACATATTCCTGCCAAACAATAGCATCACAAGGGAACACAAGGGCCTTGGGAACTCATTGCTACTTAGAATAATGGGCCCTCCAGGGTTGAAGAGGGGCATAATTTAATGCTAATGGGTATATTAGGGAACCCGGCAGTAAGTAAAGAGTACCAAGCCATGTTTAAAGCCATGATACTAGCAGGCAAAGCGGTGATAGCTCTAGGTTGGAAGGACAAGAGTAAGTGGACTGTAGATACTTGGCATAATTATTTGTTTGATTTCATACACTCGGATACAATCGAGAAATTGAATCAGAAGACCACATGGGAAGACAAGACCACAGGCATTAGGACGAAATGGACGACCTACTTGGAATGGCTACCAACAGAAGGAAGAAGGAAGACATTCAGGACAAGATCCGGACTTTGTGCCCGTGGCTGGGAATAAAGAACTAACGCACTGGGATAACAGGAGGGGTAGGGGGGAAGGGGAAGGGCTAGAAACCAACACGAAATGTACGGGGAAAAAGATAATATGTAATACTTACTAAAAATTCAAAAAAAATTAATTTAAAAAAAAAGGATTCTTATCTCACTACAGATGCTAAGTTTCTGTCTTCAAGCATTTCTCCCCTGCTCTAATGAAGCTGATTCCAATGTGCATCGTTCTTCCTCCCCCGACTCCCTCCTCTTTGCAACGCACCTCCCACCTTCTGGCTGGGATATAAAGACTCGTGGGTTTCTGTTCCTATTTGTATCTGATGAAGGGAGCTTTGACTCCTGAAAGCTTATATCCTGAAAATCCTGTTGGTCTCTAAGGTGCTCGTGGACTCGAATCTAACCGTTCTACACCAGACCAACATGGCTTCCCTCTGAAACGATCTTCAAAGCTACTTAGCAAGACTGGAACTCGTCATTCCCCGGATAAATCAGGCAAATATCCAAAGAAGATGCTGGGAACATCTTTTGCTCAAAGTCTGCTGCAACCAACGGGGGGTCATGTGAGAACAAAAAACGTGCACATCAGCAGGGTTTGTGTCATGCAATCTGATTATGAGTTATTCGCTATGGACAGCAATTAGTCCAAACAGCCAGGAGGGGGGGGGGATGGACTAGGGATGGGCACAAGCTGGCTCACAAACGGAAGTTCGTCACAAATTTTGGCTGGTTCGTGGTTTGCAAAGCGATGTTTGCAAACAGAAGAGCTGCCGCGAATGTCCACGAATTCTGATGC